AATGATTAAGGCCCCTACATTACATCTTCGCCCCAATTCCAAGCCCCAGACCCTCATCCGGAAACTCCAAACTCGCTAAGGCCCCGCACTGTCTGAGTCCATACAGGTTGAAATTGTCACGGACCTTTGTTTTGGATCTTCAGGGTTCGGGCGTCCAGAAAGCAAGCAAGAAGCTGAAGAAGCAGAAGAGGGCTTCAGCGACTTTCACGCTGTTGGAAGATGTAGGAAGTCTTGATCAGAATACACTTTCGGTAGTATAACATGCAACAGTTACAATACACAGGGGTCTGAAGACATGCTTTGTGAAGTTGCCCTTGCAGCAACTGATTTTTAAAACTAAGGATCCGTTGGCAACAGGTTGAATGTAGGACTGACACTAAACCCGACCTTGACAACATTGTCCTTCGTTTGAAATTGGCATTAAGGATTCGTCAGCATCAGGTTGAATGTAGGACTGACACTAAACCCGACCTTGACAACATCGTCTTTCGGGGTTTGTTTTGCTACAACTGTTTCGAAGAAAACTAAGGCGCAGCTTTACTACTTAGATGCAGGACTTGCGTGTTGGGAGTCTGTCCTTCAGCAATCAAAGCTGTAGGGGTTCTTGCTTTCGGGACTTAAAGTTTAGGTTTCTGGGCTTCCACTCGTGAGGAGTCCCTCAGAGCCTAAGGCTACGATCCACGGCATAGGTCCCATAAGAGACAAGCTTCCGTGATTCCACTCGAAAACCCCAAAGCCGTCAGGGCTGAGAATCCCGAATTCCCGAAACCCTCCCCCAAATTCAACCCTCAACTCGCTCTGCCTAGCTTTCGGAACTCTCGATTCAAGAAGCTGTGAACTTTAGGATGCGAAGCTGCGCAAATTCTGCAACGTTGAAGCTTACACGTTCAGTGGGGGGGGGTGTCTGGGAAGAACATGATTCCGGAACGTAGTCTGGAAGAATTGGGCTATCTCTGACAGCATGGCCTGGGCCATCCTCCCTGGCAGGACTGGGCAGTTAAACGCACAAAGCCTGCCTCTCCTCCTCCTCCTCCTCTCTCTCTCTCGCTCTCTCTTGTTAGCGCTCACAGAACTGTGCACCACGCCACAGACTTTCTGTGCAAATTAGTGCCCCTCTCCTCCTCGGCCTGGCACCGCCCCACCTGCCCAGCCGCCACTACTCAAATCCCACAAAGAAGACAGGAATTTCCTGATTCGGCTCCCCCCGCGACCATCGATCTTAAGTCGGTTGAAAGGTCCCAAACCGGTGCCCGAGGCTTCTGCTTGAAATATGTACGCTCTTTCGTGAAAGAAAGAGGTTCCAGGATGCCTGAAGCCTTAGCCCTAAGCCCTTTCTAAGGCTTTAACCGCCGATTAAGGGCACGGCATACTCTTCCTCGACCTCGGCGAAAAGCTCGTGGCCTTTCAATCCACAGAACCTTGCGTCGCTTCTGTCTGAGGACTTCAAGGCTTCGGGAGTATAGGATTTCAGAAGTGAAGACTGAGGGCTTAGGATTGGAGATCCAAGGTTGACGCTTTAGGGTTCGGGGCTTGGGCTTTGGGGTCTAACGCCTGATTTTCGGGATTGCGTCCGGGTCAATGGCGTGCGGTTCAGGGGCTCTTGAATTTGGTGTAGAATCGGGTTGACTGCAACAGGGTAAACAGTAGCAAGTCGTCAGGATCATAGCAAGATGTGGACCGGGAAGAAGACCGGAAGAGCGGAGGGGAACCACTTTGAAGAGAACCCTAACCATAAACTGCTTCGGCATCTGAAGAATCAGCGACTGTCTGCATAAAGCGGCACGAGTTACGCTACAACCAGAAGGGTCCAGGGCTTGTTTACAGGTTTGACATCTTGATCGAGGTCTGGGAGGCATGTCTGGCTTTTTTCAGAGAAGAAGCAGCTCGGAAGCGCGACGTTTGAAACAGCAAGCGCCGAAACATCAAGAAGTCCAGATGCACTGTGAGGAATGAATGCTGTAGGGAGCTTCGACATGGTGGGAAGGCATCTTGATAGTTGGCCATAAATTGGGACGTCGGGGTCACCTTCTGTTTTCGTTCATCCTTTCGACCAAGAGAGGAAGCGTTTCGTCCAACACCCATACGGCTTGAATTCCCCTGAAAAGAACCCTAAGCCACCTCCTGAAAGTCCTCGTCCTCACCCCTCAGCCCATTTTCCAGCACCGCATCGATCCCTCAAACCCTCAATTTCCAGGACAAGATGCCACGGTATCCAGCCAGAATCAGCAGAGAAATCCTGTGGAGGGTGGAGGGGTTTTCGGCGCTGGGGCTTGACCTTTCGGGAGCTACAGAAGAGAAGGGACACCAAAATTGGCTGGAAACAGTCGGGTCCTTCAGTCCTTATTACAAGGATCTTTAAACACAACTTCCTGAATCTCCTGTCGCTGTCAGGGTTGAGTAGCTTAGGCTTTGCGGACTTCGGGGTTTGAGGGCTTAAGTGGCTTTCTTTGGGCATTCAGGGCTTCAGGGTTGGGGTTTAAGTGTTTCTGTGACGTCTCTGTTTCGTAGGTCCGGCCTTTAGGGCTTCATGGTTGCAGACGAAAGCATTTGTAAACGCCCTGCTGCTTTAAGGGGTTTGGGCTGGGAAGCGGCTTTAGGGCTTCAGGGATGAAGATTGCCAATGCAGCGTCTGCTCTTGCGGTTTGGGAGGATGAGACATGGGTGACAGTGAGGAATGTTTTTCAAAGTCACAAACCCAAAACCAGAACACCCTAAACCAGTTAGGAACAGGGTTGGGCTGTAAGATCGCGAGCATCCTCCCCCGTCTTGTCCCTGAAACAGTTTGATATATTTCGCCCTCAAAGGTTAACATATGGTCTTTGGTGGATCAGGAACATTCACTCACTTTGCGAACGATCGGTCCATCCTTTGTCTTTCAGCTCCCAGAATAAACAAATGACAAATCTCGAGTCGTGCCAGGGTTCGAGTCTTAGGCGCTGGGAACGAAGTTCAAGAAACCTTGAATCCTAAAGATCTACAGGCCCAAAGGCCCAAAACTGTCCCCTCAAGCCTTTCCCGCTAAATCTCTAAAGTCCTTAAGCCCTACAGCGCTGAACCCTAAACCCGAGCTTCAAGGTTTGCCATGTCCTCGTCGTCGTCCGTCTCGCCCAGGGAGAGACCATACATCCTGGCCTGTTCTGCGGGGCGGAGAAAACAACATTAGGGTATTCAGGCTTCAGAATGTCTTGCAAATGGTAACCGCAGAGACAGTTTTACGTGTGCTACTGATGAACTGCTTCAGTAATTGAATTGGAGAGCTGTTTGCTCAAAACAAACACGTGCTCGGAGCCGGAACAATGGAGCATCGTAGCTGAGCCCCAGAATTTCGTTACAGCAATACTCCACAGATGTGAGGAGAACATCACCTCGCACGAGGTTTCCGCCAGGTTCCTGTGGGAGGGGCTGGTGCAACAAGCAAGAAGCCCCAAGCCCTAAACCCAAGACAATGCGCACTTCCTGTGGGTTCCTGTCAATCGCGCGGGATTCGGTGTGGAAGGTTTCTTCGGCGCGTGGCGTCGAAACGTGCCCGTTGAAGAAGCTGGAAGCGGGAGTGTTTCAACAGAAGCATGCAGAGCTGAGCAAGCCTAGGGAGAAGAAACAGGCGAGCCACGAACTCCCTTTCGGTCACCACCTCTACCTTCTAGAAGAGGAGAAGAACAGTCCCTCGCTCATGCGTGGGCATGTTCCGGGACAGAGTGTCCGTACCCGTCTATTTGAGATTCATATTGGGATCCCTTTTTCTCCGAAGCTCATTGATTCCAGCAACAGCAGCTGTACGAACATTGTACAGACCCTGACAGCAAACCAAAACTCTCCAACCCAGGCTGACCTGTGAAGGTGTGTCTACTAACAGAAACCCGGAATCAGAAGTCTGAAACCTCAACGAAATTTTCCACGGAAAGAACAACTAACCCGATCCCGCCTGCTCAGCATTGGTTCTGCTTCGTGCCCACGAGCCGGAGTGGCTGCGGCATGCATGTAGACATTAGGACTCTGGACCTAAACCCAGCTGGTTTCGGAGTTTGGGATTCTTTGAGCTTCGCTGTGGAACCATACCTGACAATCCCTGCACCTGGACCCCGCAAACATGAAAAGGAAGAACTACGCACGGAACGACTGTAAATACAAACGCCAAACGCAAGTAAATCCACTTGCAACAACAGCTACAGTAAGGGACTTGTGTAGTTACTTGCGCTTGTTAGTCGCCGGATTGACCCAAACCTCATCTTGCTTTTTGAACAACTGTCGAATCGTGCGTGGCTCTGGAGGGCAGCGAGGGCTGAAGCTCCGCTGCCGCCTCATCTCGCAACAACCCGACTTTGCATCCCACGATGCTCTAACCTCTGTACATGCAACTTATAGGAATATGCAATACTCTCCTGCACCTCTGGCAACATGCAGCACTTCTGCATGCTCCCGATGTGCTCAATGTCATGTAGAGTGAGCCCTGAGCATCTAGGGCTCCGCAGACAC